CCAGGACATGACGCGCCCCCTAATTGTCACCACTTCTGCTGCTCTCACCATTGTTGACGGCGCTGAAGAATGAGATTATAGCAAGCTCCCCCCTCTGGAAGAAGCGATCAAAGCTCATCTGTGCCCTCCATCGGCCCTGGGGTTAAAAGCCCATCCAGCGCAGCCATTAAATTCCTGCAGGACTACCTCAGCCCTAGTTAACAGGGCTTATTCAGCGGCTGGCCAGGCTGGCTCAGCGCTTCACATGATGGCAGTGCTCCAAGTGTTCCAGGCCAAGCTTCTCCACATAATGGACGAGCGCACAGCAACTGACTTGGCTCTGCGTGCTACTAAGGCCACTGCGTAGGCGATAGACAAGGCCATGACCAACTTGGTGGTGCTGGAGTGCCACCTTTGACTGAATCTAACCGAGATCAGGGAAGTGCATGGACACAGGTCTCTCCCCTCTGAGACAGATGGAAATCTGCATCTTGAATTACCTCAACAATTGGCTGGTTTTAGCCAGATCAGAATAGGAACTCATCGCTCACTGGTCACTGCTGCTCAGCCACCTGGAGTGGCAGCCAAGAGCTCTTTGTCTCCCAGCCAGCGTGTAGTCTTTCTGGGGACAATTATCAATTATGCCCAGATGTGGGCATGGATTACGCCGGAACACTCCCTGATAGTTCAGTGGCTAGTGGTGTCATTCAAACTGGGGACTTCACATGCCCTCAGGGCTTTCCAGAGGATGCTCGGCCTTGTGTCATCTGCTTTCTCTGTGATACCTCTGGGCCTGCTTCACATGTGGCCCTTCCAGTATTGGCTCAAAGCCCATGTCTCATCCCACACTTGGCGCCTGGGATGTTTTCATCTCAGGGTAACCCACCACTGTATCAGAGCTGTGACCTCTTGGAAATCTCCTCACCTGTTTCAATCAGGTGTCCCATTGGGATTGACCTAAAGAAGGAAGGTTTTCTGAATGGACCGGGACGTGGTGCCCCTTTAAGGCCGACAGGAAGGTTTTTAGGGCTAGAAAAACTGCCATCATCTCGAGGCAGTTGATGTGTAAGCATTGCTCCAGGTTTGACTAGGAGCCGAACACTGGTCTGCCCTCTTACAGAGCTCCCCAACCCAAGTTGGAGGCATCTGTCGTGACCACATTACGGTGGTAGCCTTTATAAATCACCAAGGTGGTCTCAGGTCACGTTCCCTCTACAGGTTGGCTCAACACCTCATTTTATGGGCACAGGGCAAACTCCTCTTGATGAGAGCAGTTTATGTGCCGGGCAGACTGAACCAGGGAGCAGACATGCTGTCCAGCGGCAATATAAAGCTCCAGGAGAGTGGAGACTACATCCTCAAATGGTTCAAACGATCTGGTCTGTCTTCGGAAGGGCAAAGGTGGTCCTCTTCGCCTCAGAAGACAACTTTCATTGCCCAATTTATTTTTTGAAGCAGAGAGATGACCTGGCCCAGCGCTCACCTGTAGGCATTTCCCCCAGTTGCCCTGCTTTCTCAGGTCATCAGATGGGTCAGGGAAGTCAGATGTTCAGCCCTCCTGGTGGCCCCACTCTGGAGGAATCAGACGTGGTTCCCCGAGTTGATTCATCTGTTATCGGCAGCCCCCTGGCCGATACCATAGATGAAGGACCTCTTCTCGCAAGCGAGGGGCATGATTTGGCATCCCCAGCCAAAGCTGTGGAGTCTTGGAACTGTAATTTTTCCAACTGCATTTTAACATTTAGCCCCTTTGTAAGTGGGAAAGGTCCTCAGCGTAGCCACTTGGGTCTCATTATTAGCCAATGCTTACAGGAGCCCTCAGTATGGGCGCTCTGGGGCTGGTCTCGCAGAGCGGCTTTGTTCTGCACTTGCTTAAAGCATGGCATGATTGGATACATTCCCCATAGCTTGTTAACGCAACGGGAGAGACTGTTCGAAAGGTAATGCTCTGGTTACTTACATAACCTCGGTTCCCTGAGATAGGCTGCCGTGCTATATGGCTTCAATCGAAAGTTTCTGATGAAATAACACTCAGAGCCAACTTATATAGCAGTCGGCTCCAACCCATTTGATGTGTTGAAGCGCCATTTGTTTGTGCAGCTACACGAACGTGATCAAATCTGGCTTCAATATACTGTAAGTGTAAACTGGAGTTTCCCCATAGCGTGTTAATGCAACGCTCAGGGAACTGAGGTTACGTAAGTAACTGGAACGTTTTCGATAGTTCACTTACACTAATTATTTTATCAGCTGAATTATTATTTATAATATAGAAATACAAATTGTAATTAATGATATTTTAATTTACATACACTACCATTCCAAAGTTTGAGGTTGGAAATATTTTTTATGAAATAAATTTATATTTGAATTCAGCAAGGAAACATTCAATTGACCAAAACTGACAGGTTTATAATGTTACAAAAAAAATTATATTTAAAATAAATGCAGTTATTTTGCTCTTTCTATTAATCAGCTTCTATTAAGCAGCTTGTTTGGTTTTTTAACATTGATAATAGTAAGAAATATTTTTTAAGCATCAAATTGGCATATTAAAATAAATGATTTCTGAAGTATCATTTGACAGTGGAGTAATGACTGGTGAAAATTCATAATTACATTTTAAAATATATTAAAATGGAAACCAGCTACTTTAAATTGTAATATTATTTCACATTATTACTGCATTTTTACTATATTTTCAAATAAATGCAGCCTTGGTGAGCATAAGAGATGTATTTAAAAAAAAAAAAAAAAAGTCCAACCCCAACTTTTTAACAGTAGTGCAAAAGACAATTACTGTTTAGATAACACTTTATTTTGATAGTCCACCTCTACTAACTATAAGTAACTTTGCAACAACATGTCAACTAGCAGTCACTAGAGTATTAGTAGACTGTCTACTTAATATCTGATAACACTTTATTTTGATGGTTGCTCAACAGACGTTCTACTGGCTATAAGTAACTTTGCAAGTACGGCAACTTATTCTACTAACCCTAACCTAACAATCTACAAATTTTCTATAGGAGTTAGTTGACATGTAGTTGCAAAGTTACTTACAGTTAGTAGAATGTCTAAAGCGGACTATCGAAATAAAGTGTAACCAATGTTTATTATATTAATAAAAACATTAAATAAAACTCATATAAATCCATAAATTGCATAAAATATGCTTACATTTAATCATGTAGCAGATGCTTTTATCCAAAGCGACTTACAAATGGGGGCAATAGAAGCAATTAAACCAACAAAATAACAATATGTAAGTGTTATGACAAGTCCCGGTTAGTCTAACGCGGTACACGTAGCAAAGTTTTTTTTTTTTTAGGCTTGCAGTGTGTAATAGGCCTAACTCATAATAAAATGTGAACCTAGGGAGGGAAAAAGCAAAGAGCATTTATCACAAACAACTTTAATGTTGAAAGTCTCCATTTAAGTTTATACAATATAATCAATAATGGATAAGATATTCTTTCAAATTCTCTTTTGATAACTGACAAAGAGGTCTCATTAGCTTCACTCTCAGGGAGACTGATAGAAAACATGGGTCAAAATGAACACTGTAATGACTTGGCTGGCCAATACAGAATCACTAGAATCGGCTGCCCTAGTGCAAAGCCACAGCTCTGATGAATCGCTGTATGGTGATGTCAGAGTGGCACCATAACACTTAGACAGGAAGACAACAGGCGCAAAGAGCCTGTGGCTATCAAACTAGTGGCAGAGACCCGGAGGACAGTGAGTAGGATTGGAGGGGCTCGATCACCATGGAAGCAAGCAGCACAGTCTGGGGCAGTCAGTGAGGGCGATCCAAACAGATGTGTTCATGGGGCATCAGTGAAAAGTACCGACTGTGACATTCCGGGCACTGGCCTGACAGAATTTCTGCTAAGTGCTAGTAAATATGTTTGGAAGGATTGCTAGCAGGGCAAAAATGTTTTGGATGTGATTTTTATTCTATTTTTTCCTCATCTTGGTCCTTTTGCACCAAGGTTATAGACTTCTCTTGCTTGGATCATTGCACATAACAATGTCAACAGTTGAAAGACACATAAAGCAGTTCATGAGGCACTTTTTATATCAGAGTTTTTTTTTGGTTGATTGATTTGTAGAAGTATATAAAACAGATGTTAAAATGCAGTTGGAAAAATTACAGTTCCAAGTTTCTTTCTAAATAGTGAACAGTAGAGTGTAAAATATGCATGAGGTATAGGAAAGGCACATAGCCAGCCTTATCAGTGTCTTTCCCTAGCCACAGACGGCAACTTAATAAAAAAAAAATAGTTCACCCCAAAATGAAAATTCTGTCAACATTTATGCACTCTAAAACATTCCAAACTTGTATGATTGAATTTTTTCTGGATTCTGTCAATCACTTTCATTGTATAGACAAAAACACTCACTTTTGTGTTAAGGTGTGGTCACATTTACTGTGTTGTCAATGACTTTCAACTGTTTTTGCCATTTAATCAAAGTCAGTGGGGTCCAAAACAATATGTCATCCCCTTTGACTTTTATTGTGTAGACTAGTGTATATAGACAAAAAAACTCTTAGACATTTTTAAAATGTCTTGTATTTTGTTAAGGTGTGTTGACTTTTACTGTTGTTCAGTGAAGTTTCAACCTCTTTGTCCATATCAAAGTCAAAAGGGTCCAAAACAGTATTTCATCCCCACTGACTTTCATTGTATAGACTGTATGGACAAAAAACACTCAGACATTTTTTTAAATGTTCTTCTATTGTGTTAAGTTGCAGTCATATTTATAATTGTTCAGCAAATGTTCACAGGCAAAATCTAGTAATTTCAATAAAAATTCATGAGATCACGTAAGGGCAAAAGCTTTCACCACACAGATTTCACAATGCAGATTTTCACATTAACCAGCACAAAGCTGTTTGGTTTGAAAGGGTCTTCTGTTTGAACTATGCTTCATATATTTCTACAATAATGACAAACAGACAATGGACCTTTTTTTGACATGAAATTTCAGCAAAATTTCACTAATTACACCGGACCTTTACACAGAAGAATGTAAGTCATACAGGTTTGGAACAACATGACAATTTTCATTTTAGATTGAACTATTCCTTTAAGTGCCATGCCTGAAATAAATAAACTTTGTGTTTTTCACAGAGTGCCTGAAAATGCTCTTAGTCCAGTCTGTCATTTAGCACCTCAGCGTGTGCTTAATGTTCTGTCTTTTCCATGTCCTTACATTCATGCTCTTTAAATATTCCAGCCAGTGTTTTGAAACGAGGACCCCAGTCACAGAGATTTCTGTAATCCTCCTTGGGTTCAAGCACCCAGGACTCAATGGAACTGAGAGACTCGGCCACCGATCCCTCTCCCTCATATGCATACGTGACCAGAGAGTCATATGGAGATGTTGAGTTCTCCAGAAGACAGTGATGGATGTAGGCTTGGATGTCCTCGCTGCCCTCGTTGGACATACACGCACTAGCCCGATTGGGCTCATCCACTGATCTTATTTTTTGCAGCTGTGCCGTCTCTTTGATGCCTTTGGGGTTGCGTAACGTACCTATGTCAAAGGCCTGGGTGTCCTCTTCCCCACCTCCCTCATCGTCATAGTGGATCACATTGTCCCGGATGTCCTCTTTAGACGACATCAGAGTGTCCTTCTTCTTGTGTTTTCTCAGGCCCATATAGAGCACCACCATCACTGCAAAACACCAGAGGCGCATAATTTGTTTCGTGGCGTAATACACGTTGACATCCATACAAGTTCAAGTTCAAGTTCAAGTTGAGCTTTATTGTCATTCTGCTGCATGTGGGGACATACAGTGGAACGAAATGTCGTGCCTCACAGGACCACGGTGTTACATAAATACAGGCATACAACAATGAAGTAAAACAGTAAAAACCTATACAGTAAAGCAGTAAAAACCTATACACAACTAACCTACTGACTGATTTTGATTATAAATATACTATATATAACACTTCACAAACATAAACTCCACCAGCGATGAACAGTGTTTTGTACTGTTTACAGTACAGGACCTTTAAGTGACAACAAACTAGTGAAAAAAAGGGGTTGTCACATGTTCTGGAGCCATTAGCTGATTTATTTTTTGTTCTGACGTGGGTTTTCAAAATGGGACTAAATAGAATGGCAGCCCGAGGGTAGCCATAATGCAGTTTTGACATGCTGTCTGTCACCATCGAACTGCCTCAGTTGTGTGAGAGGAGGGGAGGTAGAGGTAGTTCCCTCCTCAGAGGCAGACAGCGCTCGCTTGCCCCACTCCACTCAAAGAAAGACACGAGAAAGAAAAAGACAGGGAGGCACAGGCGCTGCTGCGAGAATTACAGATTAGAAGCTTTCTGAAGAAGCAGAGGGGGAAATTTGGCTTAATCAACCTGCATGTGTTATTAGGGGAAGGTTTTCTCATTTTGTTATTTTCTAGTCGTTTAGAATATAATATGTATTATCACATTCGAATCATTATTTCTGCATCAGCTCCCCCAAGTGGTTGCCATATAAAGGAATCTGTCTTTTCTGCAATGCTGGCAAATGAAAATATCAAGTCAAAGCACATCACTTCACTGCACTGTCACTGTCTGCTGCAGAATTCACTTACCTAGTACTTATTGCAATAGAGAGCTTTTATTGCAATTCTACCTCAGGAGTTCCTCAGTACTCTTGCCCCATTAATCTCTCGCTCTTTTTTTTTTTGGCATACAGAAGCTTGTTTTTTTTAATTGTTCTTATTATAAATATGATTCCACATTCGATACTTTATGTATACTTTATATTATATGGGTGTTTCTGTTACAATAGGCACTTTGGCTTTTATAAACATTTTGCATATCTTTTCATAGCCTTACTACTTTATTTAATTTGTCTACTAACAATGTCCAGGAGTACATTTACATGCATCACAGAAAACATTTTTTTTTGTAATTTTCTTCTGTGATGAAAATGTCATTATTTCCCCAAAAGGGTTTAAAAATACTTTTATTTTGCTACGGCTAATTTCATATCTAGCATTCAATGTATCCTAAATATACACAATTAAAATTATATTTTCATGTTTTGCATAATGAAAAAATTATAGCTTAATTAAAGTACAATACAAATATTTGTATAGGTGCCATGATTCTTCTCCAGGTAAAATAAATCATTTTCACACAATAATTATAAAAATGGTTTATGATTTTCACTTTGTATTTACATTATCTAAACATGTAATTCATATTTGTATAATATTTGTATGATTTAAAAAAAAATATATTGAAAGTCTGGGACAAGAGTAACCTATACAATCTACACTAATCTTCAAGTTTGGGGTCAGTAATGCAAAAATGCATTAAATTGATCACAAGTTTCAGTTAAAACATTTATAATGTGTCAATGGACTTCTAAGTCAAATAAATGCTGTTCTTCAGAAAGTTTAAAATTGATCAAAGAATCCTAAAAATGCATCACATGCTACTGTTATCACAAAAATATTAAGCATAACAACTGTTTTCAACATTGATAATAACAAAAATCGTCTCAGGTTACTTATGGTTCCCTGAGTAGGGAACGAGACACTGCGTCCTCTAAGGGTCGCTATGGGGAACGCCTCGTCGTGACCCGTGTCTGAAGCATACATTGAAAAAACACCAACTCGTTGGCCGGCGACAGCCATGACGTCACTACCGGTGCAACTATAGTATAAATAGGTGCCGGGAGCACACATCATTCACTTCTTCGTCTGAAGCTTGCATCCGCAGCATGGCAAGAAACCTAGAGGACACAGTGTCTCGTTCCCTACTCAGGGAACCATGGTTACATAAGTAACCTGAGACGTTCCCTTTCATGGGAATTTCGAACTGCGTCCTCTAGGGGTCACTATGGGGAACGGTATACCCACGCCACCATGCTGAGGGGAGCGCATGCCAGAACCATGATGAGCACTAAGTACCAACTCTACCATATTGCTATGGGAGTTTCCCCTGGGACGTTAGACGGCTGTCTGTGACGTTATTCCCTACGGCCAAAGGCCTAGGCTACATACCCCAAAATACTTACCTGTTAGGGCCAGACTCCTGGGCCCGGGGTAGAGCTCAAGGCTTGGAATCAGGAATAGATTCCTTTAAGGGAATACGACCAGACGAGGCGTTCCCCATAGCGACCCCTAGAGGACGCAGTTCGAAGTTCCCATGAAAGGGAAATATATATTTTTGAGAATCAAATCAGTATATTAGAATGATTTCTGAAGGATCACATGACACTGAAGACTGGCGTAATGGCTGCTGAAAACAGTAATGTAATTTGAACAGTAATGTAAATTCTGTATAAAGGCATTTGTAAAGTTTGTAGCGTCTGGACCAATCAAAAACACAATTTTTCATTTAATCTAAATATTTATAATTAATTATAACTAGTTATGATTAATTATTCATATTTCCCTTATGAGCTGATTCGCTACAAGTTCTTTGTGAAATAATCTGTTAGTTTTAGTAAAAATAAACTTCTGGGACGTAAAAGTCCCAAAAGTTAAAGAAATACCCATATATACTTATGTTATTTACTTTTGTTTTGGTTTGCACAATTGTCGGTACTGTTAGTGTCCTGCTATCAGAGCCTAGTCCAAATCAAATAATAAATAAACAACATACACAAACATGACTACACAAACATAACCCCTAAGTTTTCTTGTATCTTCTCTATTTATCACATTAAATTAATCAAATGCATATTTCTTTGTCTTTCCAGTGTTCTTTTGGACACAAACATGTCTAACTCACCCAGCAGAATGACAATGCACAGCATTATGCCCATTAGAGCTCCAGTGCTGAGTCCCATGGGAAAGAAGACGGCTTCCGCATTGCAGGAAAGGAGGGAGCCATCTGTGTCGCAGGTACACACCCGCACCGACACCGTCCCCGTGCTGCTTCGGATTGGGTACCCGCCGTCCTCCACAATGACCGGCACCAGGTACATGCTCTGCTCCAGTCTCTGAAACCCCCCTCTCCTGGTCACCACTCCAGCTGTGTTGTCTGAAATCGAACCCATGAGACCATCAAACTGTCTATAATGCAGATTTAGTGTAGGCCATAAATAATTGTACTTAATGCATGCAAATCTGGATATAATCAGTGATAATGACAGTCATGCTCTCAGGGATCATAACCTGCCATTCCAACATTCCTCCATGACAGAATATTATGAATTCACGAGCCACTTATGCAGTACAGAGACTGGCCTGATTCCAGAATTAAGAAGAAAAATGGATCCCTTTGAGGTGGAAATAAGTACAGAAAAAAAGTGGTTCTGGTTAAGGGGATAACAAGCTAACATGAGGTACTCCTGGGAAAAGCATGATGTACCTTTCTGAGAAGAACCTCTGACACAGCTGGAGTCCAAACAAAACTAGGATGCACAACTCTTCAGGCTGTTGAGGAGTGTTTTAATCTCAATAGGTATATTTCTTCCAACTATAATTTGCCGTGTTAACTACAGATTTAATATATTGCTTAGGTGGTAGTGTGGCCTTGTAGATAAAGTTTTAGGCTCAAACATTCCCAGTGTGTTCTGCAAGCAGTGGCATGCAGGGGGTGGGGGGAATCGAGCTCCTGTCCCTTTAATCGCTGACACTAAAATGCCCCTTTGGTCCGATCTAGGTGCCCCTGGACTGCGATTTCAAAGGGCTCTACACGATCCCAGCCGAGGAATAAGGGTCTTATCCAGCAAAATGATCGGTCATTTTCTAATAAAAATAAAAATGTATATACTTTTTAACCACAAATGCACGTCTTGCACTAGCTCTGCGATGCACGTCCACAAATTCACGCATGACGTAATCACGTTGGAAAGGTCACAGTTACTTCGTTTGAGTACTCTGGTTCAAAAAGATAGGGTAGGGCGAAAAACCTTATCTCATTTTCTCCTCCATCTTCAAAATCGTCCAACATCGTTTTTTTATTTTTTTATTTTGTAAAGGTCATTTAATTTCTTTGCGACTGAAGAAAGAAAGACATGAACATCTTGGATGATATGGGGGTGAGTAAATTATCAGGAATTTTTTATTCTGGAAGTGAACTAATCCTTTAATGTCTCCTTTGTCTAACACACCCATTTCAGGTGTTGGAGCATATATACATAGATGCCACATTCAACCATTCCAGACACTTCAATGCATCCGCCATCTTGGAACAGTCAATGTGTCATCACTCACAATCAATGACTTTTCCAAGTTGCAGATGCACAGTCAACTTGCTCTTGAGTCTTTGACCGTTCCAGTATGACAGAAGGCTTACATATAGCGGCCCATAAACATTGCTGCTAATGAGGCATCTATGTGTGTGTGTGTGTGTGTATTTATTTATATGTATATATACATACACGTAAGTTCCAGATAACAAACTATACTAACCATTATGCTGAATAAAAATATCCACAAATCAGAGAATCATGGCAAACAAATCAGGATAAAAGAGATCTCAGCAATGACTGCCCTCTCCATGCAATAAAGCAATCTGATTGACAGTCAGTGGGGTCAGTAAAATTAGATTTTTTAAAGGTATTTTAGAGTATCCAAGGCTGCATTTATTTGACCAAAAATACTGCCAAACATTAATATTGTGAAATATTAAAATTTTAAATAACTTTTTTTTATATTTGAATGTTTCTTTTTTTTTCCTGTAATGGCAAAGATTAATTTTTAGCAGTCATTTCTCCAGTCTTCACATGTGTAGGGTATCAGACCGAATCAGACAATCTAAGATTTGGTCAAAACATGGTTGAAACATGAGGAGCCAAATTCCACAGAGACCCAAGACACAGGATGTTCGTAAATCAGATCTTGGCCCCACAAGCCTGAACCAACTAGCAGCTTTGAGTAGCTCACAGCATTTAAACAAAAGAACACTTATTGACAATTCCAAGGAGATTGTCAATTTTAGGGCAAGTAATCAAGATTAAATGGTCAAAGAGATGACCGCATGACCATCACGTGATAGTAACTACAATCACGAGCTCTTTGGAATTGACTTCCCCCACCTCGACCACAGAGAACAGACTGAAATTCCTTATGAGAGACCTCTTAACCTCTGGTCTTCACAGAACATGTCCTTATGTTCAGAGAATGGCACAGAAACTGCATTTCCATGTAAATATGCATCTAAATGACACTAAAAGGACTTGAGCAACTAATCATTTCAATGCATAACTCCATATCATGTATGTAACACACACATCAGACTATCAGGTCTTAATCATTTATTGTGTATGTATTTTGAATAACTATTGAATAGTTTATAGGATCATA